TGGTGCAGGTCAGTTTCTTATTTAAAAAAATAAATCAATCACTCCTGAGGTCGCCACAAGCTACTGAGAAGTAACCCGTTTTGACTTGATTTGATTTCTCAACCTGCAGAATCCCAGCAAATGTCCTAAAATACATACAGCTCCTTTGTAACTCTTTCACAGACCTTGAGCTCTTCCAGTTGTTCTGTGAAGACTTCAGAGGTTTCTCAGGGTGTGTTTACATGAGACCGCTGCCTGGAAACTGCTGGTATTTTCGGATGTTGTTTGGGAAAGAGTTCCACGTTCTAACGGCACCACCGAGACACCTTGAGTCAGCTATAGACGTCGAGTCAAGCCAGATGGTGCTGTGATTTCAGCATGTCATTGAACGCTAATGCGCTTTTGACCCTCAGCTTCTACCACATTGTAAATTAGCTTTGCAATGCTAATGTCGCTCACTGGACATTAGCACTCGAATGAGCAAAGTGTTAACATGACACATGTTCCTTATTAGAAGTTGTTTTAAAACGAACAGGTTAAGTAGCACAATGCAGGACAATGCTATTGTTTTATAATTATCTGCAGACATAGAATAAACCCAACAGTCATGTGCTTTCGCTCCTGTGAAGTGCTTCACACTCTGAGACCTGATTTCAAAAAGTGCTGGTGTGAAAGACTCCAGTCACTTCTCTCTTGTAAATGAGCGGCTGGATTGCAACAAGTCGTGGAGCCTCGAACGCACGATCTGCCATTCCATGGTCCGGGATGGAAACGCTACGGAAAAACACCAGCTACCTCAGGAGGTCCTGCAGAGATCAGCAGCTCAGGTTCGAGAATCTGTCAGCTGGACAACTAGTGGTTGCCTGTTCAACGAATCTGGCCGCTATTCAAGAATGGCGACGTGTCGAAGAAAAGCAATGGCTGCGTTTCACGCTGAACACACCATCTGTGGCATCATGACTCTATTTGGATATTTTTCTTCTACGGGGATGAGGAAGCTTGTCAGAGTTGATCAGAAGATTGATGGAGCTAAATACGGGGCAATCCTAAACGAAAACCTGCCAGCGAAAGACGTCAGACCGGAGAAGATTGTCACCCTCTATCAGGACATTGACCCTACACACACAGCCAGAGCTACAATTTCATGGTTGAGGTCAGCGGCCTCAAACTGCATTGCTCATGGACGAGCATCCTTCAACTTTTAGGTGTTACTTATCCTACAAGCTTGAAGTAGATGGCATTACATATTCAAGTGTTGCAATTGCCGAGTGAAAGTCCAGGCATGAATCCATGACATGACCGGAAAATTGTTGTTTGCAAAAAGCTCACTGTCCATTTTGACTGTGTTTGGGCTACTTTGGAAGGAAGAACCGGCAAAAAAAATTTCAGCTTGTAAATCCCCACAAAATAAATCAAACGTTTGTGGTTGGAACGTGACAGACTGGGAAAAATGTTTATGAATAGTTTTGCGAGGCATCACATCATTGCCAATAGTTACATGTTTCAACATGTGTTCATAGTAAGGTGGACCTCTATTGTTTTCTGTCTGTTGTTTTTTGATGTCTTTTGCAAAGTGTATTGAGTACTGGTCAAGTTTTAAAATGCGGAGTTACATTAGATTTAGTTGCATTACATTTCATGCAGCGTCATTTTCTTCGGAGCTATTTTTCATGGATTCTTCCGGTGCGTAGATTTCTCTTCTCCGACGTGCCGAATGAAAGGTCAGAGGTGAAAAATCAACTGATTCTGTTCACCATAGCACTTCTTGGTGCACCTTAGTCATTTTGCTTTGTCCTCTGCCTTTTTTGTGAATAAGGAAGTGACTATATTTGGACAATGGAGGACTGATGATACAGCCTCATTGATTAGAAAGCTAAATCTGCAAATGGAAATGTGAGTGTAGATGTTTTCGCATTATTTTGCTTGCAATTCCTTTAAGCGACAAATGAATTCTCATCCGTACACAGAGTAAGGCCTCTGTGTACGGATGAGAACATTCAGCCAAAAGTAGTGTAGTCCAGCAAAGTTAGTTGATGATTCAATTAAGGGCAGATATTTTTATCCTACTAAATCAAATTTGCATCTAAAAACAAAATAAATAAATAAGTAAAATTAGTTTGGTAGTCTAAAACATTTACCTGTGTCAAAAAAAAAATAAGAGCAAATGCTGTTTTGAGGGCTCAGTTTGTAAATTGTCAATTGTAAAATGACAGAGAGGGGAAATAAAGAGTACTTTGAAATATTCGACCTCCAACAACACTGCGGTGCGGAGACACACTCCCCATTCTGTCCGCGTTTCATCCTGTCATTTTTCCCGGGGTGTTTCAGCCACACCGATCCGGCGCGGGCCATTTTTCATCTTCAAATGACCGAAACGTGCCAGAAAACACGAGGCGGCGAGGGTTACCGTTGTGCCGCATTTTGTGCTGCTCTGTTATTATCAGCAGAGTGAAATATATCCCTCAGCTGGACTGGGTAGTTTTAAGAGCTTAACAGAAAGCCCCGAAGAGCTTGACAAGGGCACCATTTAGTGGGACAAATGGTTTTCCTCCGGTGTTTCCACGCGCATTAGCCGTGACATCGGCGGGAAGTTTTGGGCGCGGAGGCCGAATGCGACGCCGGGGGTGTTTCCCCAGGTCATCGGACGGCTCCACTTCCGCGTGCTAAACTCTGGGCTACGCGAAATCTGTGTTATTCTGATGCTAATCAGCCTGCCTGAAACCTTTGGCCACAAAACTCCGAGTGAAATCACACGCGCACATGTCCTTCCTTTTGCTACAGTAAAAGGGAAAGGACTCGAGCTGTAACCTCTCATTCTGGAGGGTATGAATAGCCTGTGTCTCCAGCCGCAGCTCGGTTAGCCTAAGTCTGGGACTTATTATAGTGCTGTGTTTATGCATGTGTCTCTGCATGTATTTGTTCAAGGGCAATCCCGTGTCACACCCGCGCGCGAGTGTAGTTGTGTGCATATGTTAATGCTTAAGCAAGCTAATGTCTGTTTGAGTTCCCTCCGAATTGTTTATCGCACATGCCAGTTTCAATAAGTTTACTTTTTTTTTTTCTTGCCGGCTACGAGCAAAGTTTGTTCCCGTTTTCTTTTTCATTTTTTTCTTTTTTGGAGCTCCAGCTCAAGGTAACGCTAGGAAAGTTCTGGAAAACAGGATTACTTCCCCCTGTGTTCCTCTTTCCTCTTGCAGAGAAAAACTTAGCGAATAAAGATTCTCACCTCCAGCTGGTTGAGTTATTTTCATTTCCCTGCAGATTTTTAGCCTCAGCCCAACAGGGGTTTTTTTTTTTTTTTTGGTTGTTTGTTTGTTTACTCGATTCCAAGGATTTAAATTAGCTCACTCTCTACCAGTTTAGATGCAAAGCTAATACCTGGTGGTTTGTGAGCCAGGCAGAACTCCCACCCTGACCCAGATTTCCCCGCTTTCAGGTTCCCTGCCTTCCATGTTGTCTGGCCTGTCTGCTTCAGTTGACTCCAGAACTGCCCTGGTTGCTCATTCAGAGCCTCCGCCGGTGCATCCTGTAGCATACAAATGAACTGCGCTGAATAGGGACAAACGCTGGATATAAACACTTTAGCTGTGCAACACAGAGGCCGCAGTGTGGCCGGGGTGCGTCTGGATGATGGCAGATGCGTCGTCTGCCTTCTGTCCTCCTGCATCCCAATTGTGAAAATTTGTAAAGTTGTTTGTTGGTTTCTGACTCTGCATTAGAACATGCACATTAAGAATTAGCTCAAGCTTAGTCAGATTGGGCGGAGAGTGTCTGTAATCATCAGCTTTCAAGTCTTGCCACAGGTTCTCAGTTTGGATTTGGGTCTGGACTTTGACTGGGCCGTTTTTCATCACTGTTTGCTGTGTTCCTTAAGTCTTCATGATGCTCTTTTTTCACAAAAATTCTCTAACAGTTTTTTTGAAGCCTTTGTAGAATAACTTTATTTATACTTGTATATAGTATAAATAATTGTGATTGTGACCTGCGATGACTGAATCAATGATGGTGAGGCACGACTTCATCACAATCAGATATATGAATGTAGATCACCTGCATGTTTACATAAGGAAATTTTGTGCATGCGGACAACACCAGAGGGCAAAAAGACAATTCTTTTATATGCCATACATAGATGCACTGCATTGAGTTAAAGGAATAATTCTATTAATTAAGTTAATTGAGTTCATTCCATTAACTCAATGAAACTTGGACATGTAGGTATTATTAATGTCATGCTATGCTCCACAGCAAAGGGAAAAAGCATTGAAGTGCAACTCAAAACCACGTCTTTCTCTATAAATATATTGCTGCACTTCACTTTACTGTATGGCTAGCTCGGTGCTCCTGTCTCTTACTCTGCAGTTGTGGAGTCACAAAATAATATTACATCTCACTTGATAATGGGCTCTTTAAGTGAATCTGAAAACCATTCATTCATTAATTAAAAATTTGTTTTCTAAAAATCACTGGGGTGCCCTCACAAAAATTGGGGCCGTGGGCAGATGCCCAAAGAATGGCACACAGAATCCAAATACGTTTATATTTATTGTCGTAATGTAAAAAATAAGAAAAAATACATAAAAGGGTGTGAATATGTTTGCAAAGAATTGTACACATCAGACTGTTTGTGTGAATGTTTTGTGCTGAATCAGTGCGCACCAGCAGAAAAGTGACGAGGAAGGTGAAATGGCATGGCGACAAGAAAAGTGTGCCAAAGCGAAACACTTTTCTCCTCATGATACCGCAAGAGTTGACGGCTGGCGGGGCGAGGCCTTGCAGCACACTCTATCTGGGCAACACGTCCAGACTGCAAAAAGATGAAAAGATTGTCTGCTGGGGAAACGGGGATGGAGGGTTCGGGGGCTTGGGGTGGGTTATATAGGTCAAGAGGGATGAGGAGGATATTTGACAAAATCTCAATCTGCAGCATTGCAAGTAGCTTTACTGTGTTTTTTTAAGTTGTGTGATTGTAAATGCCTTGACACTGTGAGTGAGTGAATGACCGCTGTGTTATGTTTCAGGCAACGGAGTCCTTTCTGTTGAACGAAGAACCCTCCAGAGCTCCTGGGATGCCTGAGTGCTATGTAGTGTCAGATTCATACAGGGTATGCATCTATTATTATTATTATTATTTCATTAACATTATTCGTGGAATTATTACCATTATCACTTTTGCATTTTGTGTGTGTATGTGGATGTTTGTTTTGATATTAATTAGGGGTGTAACGAGGTCCTATTTTAAAAACTTAGGATAGTTCTTGTCAAGATGAGGTCTGTCTCGCAAAGTGCCGTCTAATTGCTGTTGCACTTCAAGCTAGTAGTTCTCACTTACATTAACATCAAAGAACAATAATTTTGGCTTTCACATTAAACACATTTGATATATAAAGCAACATTGAGGATATGAAAAACAAGATACAATATGAAGGCTTTTAGAACACAACTGCCAAACTTTTAGCTGCGAACAACACTGGAGTTTTCAGCTGTTCAATAGCTGTGACCGGCTAACGATTAGCTGCTAACAATGCTTAAGTTGACGTTTGTTTTTTAGCTTCTTATCAGCACAAAATTAAGAACTCTTTCACTTAGGGTGCATTCACACCAGCCCTGTTTCGATTTCTTTTATTAAATTCTCGTTTGTTGCTTACAAAGTCTGGTTCATTTGGGACGGTGTGAATGCGAATTCTGATACGGACCAAAAAAGTGAACTTTGGTCCACCTGTAGACTATGGTCTCAGTTCAATTAAGTGAACTCTGAACTCAAATACATATATGAATGTCAGTCAGACTGCAGACTGCTCCAAAAGCTGGACGTAGACCATAGAGCAGGGCATTCTGGGTAAATACAACTAAAACAGACGTGTTTCTGGGCCGAGTGGGAAAAAATGGGTCGTGGTCTTAAGCCAAACACGAAAGAGTAATTCTACAAGCGCTACAATCTGAGGCCACTCCATTTTTGTTTCGTCAAGAAGGAAGCTGTGCTCAGTGTCTTCTTCAGAGGTTTTGCTCTTGTTTTCTTCGGTGGTTCTTGTTGCAGCGCCACCACAAGCGAGGGAGGTGAACTGTTTTCTCACTGTATTCGTTTGTCACAGCAGCTGGAAATGTAACAAATGTTTAAATTTTGGTCCCGAGTCAAAGCAAATATGCCAAACTATCAGGTGTGAAAACAATGTTAGTCGCTGACTTCATCAACACGCTTACTTAGGTAAATCTGCTCTTCTCTGTTTTGTTGCACTTTTCATGAAAATGTGGTGTCTTGAAAATGAGAAAAAACTAATATTTAAAAAAAATATTTCTGTCTTTATTTATTTTTCGGTAATCAGTCATACTTTATCATGACAAATGTGGACTGTAAAGGTTACTAACACCATCAAAAAACATAAAAACGAGTCTGCGTATATTTGATTTGCATTTGGAAATTTTTCTTTTCACTTTGACTCGAACTTATTCACATAAATTCTGCCTATTTGCAATTTTTTTCTTTTTCCTTGGAGCATATCTGAATTATTGGGAAGAACATTTTGAATTCCAGCTTGTGGAGTTCCAACCTGAAATGCTGTTAGCTGTGGTTTTCCAGAAAGCCAATCCAGGAGCTGCTTTTACTTTCCTTGGTGCTGATTGACTGAACATCCAAGAGCGGAAATAAGGAAGATAGCATCTGCGCTAGCAGCTTAAGCAGTTTCCACTGTGTTTATTAATGCATATCACAGGATATTTTGTGCTTGTTGTCAAAATATGTATAGCTACTTGTTTTATAGTTCAGAGTCTGAGGTTGAAGTTTTATTTTAAAACCACAATATATGGAAGAGTTGCACCAAAATGTTTTACACTAAATACCGAAGTGGTTTGAAAAACCTTTCCTCTTTTTGAAAGGCAAAATCCCCCCAAAAAACAGGAATCTTATTTTACCCTGACAATTTCACTAAAAAAGCCTGTTACTTTATGAGTCTATGCTATCACGTATTGTTTCATCTCGTGAACTGGATGTTTCGTTACACCTCTAGTATTAAATGTGTTCAAGTCATTACTCTGAACTCTGTCCGTCTGTTTTCGAGCTCTTCGTAATTACACTACAATCATAATGTCATTCACAGCTCCCTCCACTCATCTGCAAACCATTACCATTATTATTTCCACACACACACACACACACACACACATGCGCATAAGAGAAAGACAGGAAAGAAAGGGGAGCCTTTGCAGTTTTGCCCAGGCTTCTTTGCCCCTGTGGGTTAAAAATCCAGAATGTTAATGTGCAACTTGCCCTGTTATGTGAAAGGAATTAAAATTTTTAAGACATCAAGTGGTTTCTGTAAAAAAAGAATAATAATTTTTTTTTAAATGCAGAATTTCTCTGGTGGAGTCGTGGCCTGAGACACATTTTCTCCGGCTGTGCTCGCTTTGTTTCCCCGAGTTAAACACCAGCGGCGAGTGCTGCGCCACGTTGTGTGTTTCAGCACACAGAAAAAGCACATCTCTAGCTGCAGCAGAGTGTTTTCAGGAAGTTGAGGATTCAAGGCGATCAGAAACATCAGGATCGTCCCACCAGGAAGACGGTCCAGTCACGGCGTGGTTTCTGTCTTAAATGAAGCCTGGCTTGTCACATGCCAGGCTTTCACTATTTAATTTTTTTTTTGTTTGTTTTTTTTATTGCAGCCGAGTAAAAATAATTCCCGGCCACAGAAACATCAGAATGATTTGTATAAGCTCGACTTCTTTAATCTTTAAACAGTCGTCACATTTTCATTGGATGGATATTTACAGAGAAGCTGATGATTGATCACACAATGAAGGCTGGAAGCCGAGAGACACTATTAATATTCCTGTGTGAAACTCGTACCGAGACTGGAACATGTAAAGCGTTTAGATTTTTTTTTTATTTAGACTTTTTTTTGTTTGTTTTAAATGGTCTTTAAAAAAAAAGGTTTAAAAAAAAAAATATATATATATATATATATAAAATGAACTGATTTATCCTCATTGCTTTTTACAGTGCTATCCGTTAGCCGCTGCTTTGTAGCTAACGGATAGCCAACAACATTTCCAGTGGCGTTACACAAAAGAGCCATTTTAGTTTTCTCTAAGTTTGGATTGCATTTAATCACCTCCAGTTCTAAATATTCTTCCTTACATGTCCCTTCTTTTCAATTTCTTTTCGTTGTTAAAACGGGACTTTAAAGGCTCTGGCTCTACGGGCAACTAAATTTTAAAGTTCTTAGCTGGGGATTCCCCTTCGTTTGAGAGCCACCACTTTAAGCAAAAGCCCTGCATGTGCGAGGCATGTAAACAACAGGCTGGCGGAGCTCACATCTGCTCAGCCAAACAAGCCAACCGCACTTTTGCTTATCTCCACTTTCTGCTGTTATCCCATCTCCTTCTACAACCCAACACACAGGTGTGGTGTGGGCTGCGCGACACTGTGTGTGGATTATGCAAATGTTAGCGCGGCTACCTTGAATAACTTGTTTCACGCACCAAAAACTTCCTCTTCATCAAACAGTATTGCAAAATGTGCTCACGCCTATTGAACTCATTCCCATTTTGTCACCAAAACTCCACGACGTCAGTGGACTTTATGTCATAAACCATGAAAAAGGATGTAGGAGTGCTTTCTTTTTTTCTTTCAGCAATTAAAAATCTAAAAAGTACACCGTGGATTGGTATTGGGTCCCCTTTATTTTGATCCCTTGCAAAGAGCTAACTTCTGAATCTTTCATCTTCCCATAAACTCAGATTGAGGAAAAGCAAACATACAGCATCATGCTTTCCTAGCCATGCGTTATTTATTTTAAAAATAAAAATAAACAATTCTCAAGTATTTCATTAGGGCTTTTGAAATTTACTTCAATAACAACATGGAGCTCGTAATCCTCCTGTCATCAGTTCATACCAAATTAGGTATAGAACCGCCTGGAAATGTACTGTAATCAGCATCAGCAAAATAATTTTTTCTCAGTGGATGGGGCCCCACAACGGTTTCCAGCTCAGGCCTTGTAAACATATACCTGGGTGTAACGTTAAACAAAATGTCACATTTTTGGCAAATCCTTCACTTTTCAGTTAAGAGGGCTGAACGCTTTCGGACGGCTCTCTGAAATGTTGTTTTTTTTTCTCCCTTGAATAAAAAGCCTCAGATGTGACTGTCCCACACAGCAGCACCAGGCTGGTGGGTGAACTGGGCTGGCGGCTCTGGAGCAGTGGTAAATATGTATATTCGAAGTGTGTGAAACAGCAGAGCCACAGCACCAACCGAAGCATATGGCTCTACCATGTGTTACTTAATGAGAGATTTACTCACACAGACCACTAAATGTGTGGCTCATTTAAGGAGCCGCGGCAGAGGAGTGTTATTGCGTAAAGCGGAGCGGAGGGCTGCGAGGACGCGCTCTGACCTTTTGCACTCTCGCGTTTCGGATGACAGCTGCGAAAGTTAGCCGAGAAACAAAGGAGGAAAAAAACCCTGAAAAGTTACAGGGAGTTCTTAGGAAGTCAGTGCACCTGCAGGATAAGACACCAAAAAGAAAACAATCTGTGTGTGTGTGTGTGTGTGTGTGTGTGCGTGTGTGTGTGTGCGTGTGTGTGTGTGTGTGTGTCATTGGGTGTGTCTGTGCATGTGCTTTTTATATTAGTAACCTATCGTATTTGCAGAGACGAATGTCCTCATCTCACCGGTGAGGACATGAAGTTGGGGTTCTTGCGGCGGTCGTATTGCTCGCTCCTGCGTCCTGCCTGCCCCCCCGCCCTCCTCGAAACCCCTCCTCCACCCGTTTCTGGCTCGCGTCTCTGGCCTCATGCAGTAATTGGCCACACAGAGCCCAGATCTCTTTGTTTCGTCTGCAGAGGCTTGTGGTGGAAAACGCACAAGCGGCAGGCTCCTCGTAAATCTGCGGGACTCCGATTGTCAGACCCCCTCCCCAAAAAAATTTCGGCTCCGTGTTAGTTTTTTATTTTTAATACATATATTTTTTTTTATTTTCCGGTTCTACCGTCATGCACAGCAGAAACAGATCCAAAAAATGTTTTACTTCACGAACCCCACACGCCCCAGCGTATGGAGTTCCTCTGCAGCTCAGAGACTGTGATTATACATCCGTCCTCGCCGTGT